AGCACTGTACACCACTATACAGCACTATACACCCCTATACAGCACTATACACCCCCATACAGCAGTATAATGTATAGCAGTGTATAGTGTATAGTATATATATCCATACAGTCTCTATACTTCAAAGCGTTCCTTCCAAAAGCCCGGCTCTAGAATAGCTACAAGATCATCTTGTTTCATGATTACGGTGCGAAAATAAATGTGACTTTGTGTTTAAGAAACAAACTCAGTTGATATTACAGTGAAGTCTGGATGACAGCTAGTCGCCCTCCAATTATTAGTTCTCATTCTAAAGTTAGATCTAATTAATTAAAGTTAACAATATTTTAAAAACTTTTTTTTTAATTTTCCATAGGTGCATAGAATTAAACCTTCGTTCGTCCAGTTCCTATCGGCTATACAACACTAATGTGCCCATATGGTTAAGAGACAGACCGTGGGAATTTGTAACACATTGTATGGGACGACTTTCCAGTGCTATGGAAACACCATCGGAAGACATACGGATGTTAGAAGGTGGCAAATTTATAGTCCGAAGCCAGACCAATGGGAAGAATTACACCCTCTGTTTTCAAAATGAAAACCTTCCTACCTGTGAATGCGAAGACTGGAAGAGAAATCATTGGCTCTGTAAACACTTCATGGCGGTATTTATAAATTATGAAGAATGGGGTTGGAACTCGTTGCCGGCCACTTACACAGAAAACGCCTACTTCACTCTTGATCCTAGCATTATCAAGACGACAGTAAATCAGGGAGAAAACAGGACAACGGCAAAAGAAACAAGTTTTCCAGAACCATCATTGCTAGAGGAAATCGAGTCGGAGAATGAATCTACAGATAAACAGCAGCCAAGTATGAGTCAAAAGTTAAGAAAATCGGCATTAACATGTCGAGAGCACTTGTCTCAAATAAAACACTTGACCTATCTATGTCGCAATCAGGAACTGCTAGAAGAAACTGGTCAAATTCTACTCGCCGTTGCTAACGATTTCCGAACGAAACTTGAGGCTGAGGATGGGCTTCTATTAGAAAACCAAGCAACCCAAAGAGGACATTGTGTTGCCCAACCATCTATCGCAGCAAACGTATCATATTCTGAACTTCCCTGCAGGAATAAGCGGAAAAGCAAAGCAAAAGGTAACGTAGCTGCCACTCGCAGAAAAAAAGGAAAGGGTAAATGTCATCGCCTCGCCAACAGAGTTCAGTAAATGTAACTGTGATATCATCCCGGATGTCGAGCATTAGTAAGGTCATAATAGCTGAGAAACAGACTTGCTTCACTAGAGTGAACTGGCATCAAAACTGTAATCTGTATCCATAAATATATTGTAAAAAATGACAATAAGATACAACAGTTAGTCTATGACAACGAGAGATTATGATCTCTTGATCACACGAACTACACATACTTCCCACTGATTCCGTTATGCACAATTTATGATACCCGCGCTTAATTCTATCTTGTGTCATGTGATATGTGGAATTCGTCTCGCATTTTTATTGGTTCTTACTTAATTAGCAGACAGATGTAAAGATGATGTCATTAACATGTTTTGTCTCTTTATTATATAAAATAAGCAGATTCCATGTTGCCATGCGTCTGTTCAGTAATAGAACACAGATGACATCAAAATGTGGTAAGAACATCAATAACACACTCAGCTATCGCCTCGTGTGCCACCTTTTTGTTCTTACAACATTTTGAGTTATCTGTGGTCTGTGAAACAATTAGATCATGCGCTCTCGAATTCTATTAAAAAAGAGAGTGTTTCTGTCGAGGAGCTATTGGCTGATAGTTGCCCCGCGGACATTTATTTTCTTAAAAGAAATATTTGGCCGAGAAGCGAAGCTTCGAGGGGAAATTTGCTAGTTTTAAGAACATCAAATTTCCAAGGGGCAACTATCAGACCGATAGTTCCGAGTCATGAATACTCTATTGTCTTTATGTAAATTTTCTTCCGCGCCAGTTCAAAATCACATTGAATTATTTTAAACCTTTTTAGAAGAAAGCCGTGAAAGCTAAATGTAAAATTAAAAAGGAAAATAAACAAAACCCACTTAATACAATTTCACTTGTTTCTTTTTTCATAAGCTCGCTTGTTTACAGAAAATTTTTCACGGACGAGTATTATCCATCCGGGTATTTTCCTCTGACGGGCACTATGGGCTAATAGTGTCTCTCCGCGTATGAACACTATCGCGTCACGTGATCAACTTAAACCAATAAGAATCGGAGAAAA